ACCTTTTCTGGGCAAATTAAATCACTTGTAGATTAAATCCCCAATAGACAGCTTAGAATAAGTACAGTTTGGAGGAATCTGTTTTATACAACCATGGCATCATGATCTGAGGGACGTATCTCAGTTCATTATTTCTTTTTCCATTATCTAATTTAAATATTATTTATTCTGAACAATGATAGGATTATTATAGTTTCCAATACTTTCTGCTCCTTTTTGCTAGCTATCTTGGTTTTTACTTCAATTATTTGATTGAGAAATAAGATGGAATAAAAATATTAACAACGGAATCATATAGGAACACATTAGAATTCTTATTCTATATAATATGTGAAGGAGGTAGCTCACAACAGCTCACAAGAGCCAATTCTGCACATGCCTTTTTCACTCTATATTCAGTGTCATCACCTTGGTAGCTTGAAATATTTTTGTATATTAGGCTGGTGATTTTCAGCTGGTGTGCCCTGGCACACCGGTGTGCTGTAAGAGAATCTTAGGTGTGCCGTGAAAATGTTTGAAGATTATTAATTAAATTATTTTCAAAAGAAGTTCAAAGCACAGTAAGTATATTCTCTTTTCACTCTTTTTGTTTTCATTAAGATAATTTGAGTGTGTCATGGAAGTTTAACTATAGGTTCAAGTGTGCCATTAGATAAAAAAGGTTGCACGGTTCACAAACACCATATTAAGCCATGGTGGGAATATTTACACCATGGAAACTGGTAAATAATTAGCTATAAATCAAGACCTTTTTGTCTGGTGAGTCAATTGTTAAACATTTACTGGCACAGCATTGCATAATCTCTCTAAATCTCATTTTATTCCCCCAGAAAATAATAATTATACCAAATTTGCAGAATTTAGAGTACTAAAGACGCCAAGTTAGTAAGAATGTTAACAATAATAGACACCCTATAATAAGTGTCTAATATATGTTAAGCACCAGACTAGGCCATACATGCATATATTATCTCTAGTTCTAAGACATACAATGTAAATAGAAAAGTCTGGTAAAATGTTTGACCGTACTACATATCTCATGATTAGCATTCATTATTTATGAATGTATTAAACATAGTTAAACATGTAGTTTCTGACCCTGAATCATAGAATTGCTATTTTTCCTTCATGCTTTTGAAATCTTGAAGCATCACTAATCATTAAAGAAAGACCACTGATAATGATGAACTTATTTCAGTTTTTTTAATTTCAAGTTTTGAAGTTGGCTTTAGCAGAACACAAAATATGTAAATAAAATTTACCACTGAATTCATAATTTATGAGAAATTTTTTTACCTAGCAATTATAATGACATTGGGAAAAAAGCATTTCAACTTAGTTTTAAGTGAGACTTTCATTTCACTTTCAAAACTAAACCAAAAATAATGATCAGAGGTTTACTGAAAATCAAAAGGAGACAAGGTCATTCTGCAGTGCTCAATACCATACCAGAACAGAGTAGGCATTAATTAAATATTTGTTTGATGAATTAATGTTTCTTAGTCACATCCCCAAATTATATAAGATTGCATCATGAGTAGTTGAAATTTACCTAAGTTACTCAATCTTCTATGGTCTGTGAACCATAGCACAATATCTTGTGTTTCTGAATCTTATTTATCTACACAAAGAAGAACAAACCTAGAGGTTTAGCATCAGAATAAATTATGCCTGTTTATGTAAGTATCATTGAACAGAATATATACCACAGAAAGGTATTCATTTTGGTAAAAATGGAAAAACCACATATTATTAATTGCTACTATTCTTTTTCACACATTTCTATGAAAATAGAAGCTACTGAAAGATGTAAAACAGAAACTTGACAATAGTTTTGGTTAGTGTAAAGATATTGTCAGTCCATCACTAGTGATCTTGCTGAATGCAGATTATTTTGTACTATAAAGGGAATACAATAAAGAAACTGAAAATAGGTCATGGTGTACACAACATACCTTGAACTGAAAGAATGTAACTCTTCTGGGCTTTCCCTTCCGTGTTGGATGCAATACACGTATAGTTTCCACTGTCTGAAGGCTGAGACCGGGCAATTTGGAGTTTGCTACCTCCAGACAAAATATGAACTTCAAGTGAGTCAGAATTTTCTAGAGGTAGAAACAAAACAAAAGAAAACATAAACAAGCTTTTTAATGTCTCTACAATTCACCATAAAAATGCCTTGCTTTATGTGATATATGAATGTTTTAGAAGTTTCCTCTCACTCTGTGCTTTTATTTTAAATGAGAGCCTTTTTGAAAAAGAAAAAAAATCCCTTTATAAGATGAATAATCATTACATGAGTCTGTCTTACAGGGCTGGCCTCTGTGGCTCAGTGGGTAGGGCCCTGGCCCCATATACCGAGGGTGGCATATTCGAACCCAGCCCCGGCCAGGTTAAACAGCAGTGGCAACTGCAACAAAAAATAGCTGGGTGTTGTGGAGGGTGCCTGTAGTCCCGGCTACTCAGGAAGCTGGGGCAAGAGAATTACTTAAGCCTAAGAATAGGAGGTTGCTGTGACCTGTGACACCACGGCACTCTACCAAGGGCAACAGAGTAAGACTCTGCTCAAAAAAACAAACATACAAACCAAAAAAAATAACAAGTCTGTCTTATAAATTTATATTTCAGCATGTTAAGCTTGCTTGAAGTAAACACAGCCATGAGCAGAATACAGAAAATGTGCTAGTTTATAAATCTACTGACTGGAGGGCAGAAGGAAACAGCCAGGAACAATACACAGCCACGTTACCTATAGGCCTGCGGTTCTTTAACCATGCTATCATGGGAGGTGGGATCCCCGTGGCATCACAAGTTAAGGTCACAGGATTGCTGATTGTCTCTACAACCACTTCTTTTTCAGGACCTTCAATACTGGGTGGCACTGTAAAAAAGAGAAGAAAATCATGTGTCCTCATTAAACTAATTCAGGACACTTTCTTTCATTTGCATATCTGGGGGGAAAAAAGTTGTATTAGAGTCAGATGCTCACCATATACATTGAGGTGGAAATTTTTATCATCTCGTCCTGCTACATTTATAGCTCTACATACATACTGGCCTGTGTCAGACACCTAAAAGAAAAAGATACTATTGTATGTGCTCCATTAAGTTACAGATGACCAATCACACCGTTCCAGTGTCGATTAAATCATCAGTCATCTTTATGCTCAAATGCCCCAGCTCTAATTGCCTTCTGCAATATTGCTTTTTTTTTTTTAATGGAAAGAAAGTCAATGCCACTAGGCAATGTAATTTTTAATAAAAATCATTTTTCACTATAGTAAAGGGAATATGCAATGTCTAATTATCCCTTCCACGACCCCACCACAACACTCGAGCAGGAATAAAAGATGCACCTCGGCTTTTTTGATGTGCAGCATTTGTCCGTCAGCTAAAATCTCCAAGTGAGTGGACTCTGTTATCATTCGCCCATTCTTATACCAAGTGACAACTGGAGGGGGCACAGCGTTGGACTCGCACTCCAATGACACTGACGTTCCCTCTCTTACGTTAACTACAGAGAGAGATTCACTGCCATGATCTTTAATGCTCGGGGGCACTGAGGGAAGGAAATAAGAACAGAAGGATTTCTTTTCATGAAGGCGCTCAGAAAATATCGAATATCAGTTTTAAATGAACGAATTTTATGAGAAGAGTAGAAACGAACCATAAACAGTCAGGGAAATCTTCTTCTTGCTTTCACCAGCTTGGCTGATGGCTATACAAGTGTATTCCCCACCATCAGATACCTTAGCCCGCAGAATTTGTAGAGTTCGACCACCTGGGAGCAAATATTATGCAAATTGGAGAGTAGTATCCAAGTTGTTCTAAATAACTATTTCGTCAATAAGATAAATGGAAAAATATATCCTTTCCCTTAGAGTAAAACTTATCTAGATGCGTCTGCATTTAAAATAAAGTAATTGAATCAGTTTTCTTTGATCATAGGATTTTTCCCTCCAGCAACTAAACATGGTCAGTAAAACTGTTTGATACCGGTTCAAGTGAAAAAATAGTAATTATACATAGTATTATCGTCAAAAATATGTCATTTCCTGGGTTTAAATTTCCTACCGTGCAGAGGTGACTACTTACCTACTTACCTAATCTATTATCTATCCTCAAGAGACTGTAGAATTGATTGAAAACAAGTAGATTTATCCTGTGAAATTTCTATTAATCATCTACTACACTCAAAATTACCAAGCTGTTCTCTTCCTAAATTTCATGATTTGTTAAAGAAGACTTCATTACTGTGCATTCCTACTTAAATCATAAAAGTCTATATGATCTTGCCCTCAGGCAACAAATGGGTAAAGAAAGATAACAGTGAACAAACAAATGAAACAAGACAAAAATCAGACAGAGAATAAATTGAAATGTCATTCATATTTAAAAAAAGGAAAATGAGGAAGTTTTGCCCACCTTGTAACAATAAATCCCTTACCGGGCACAATGAGAGCGTTTGTGCTTAACTTGATAGGCTGTTCATTCTTGAGCCAGCTGAGATCAGGAGGTGGAAAACCAGAGACCTCACAGGTCAAGGAAATGAAATTGTTCACCACAACAGTAAGATTTTCAGGGTTGGGACCAATGACACTGGGAGGAACTATAGAGATAAATATATTCAAAGTGAAATCTGATGCTATCAGCAACATATAGTCCAACTTACTAAAGATAAGCCAACCACTGCACTCTGCTAAAGCACTGAGTTCATGGTTCTGTTAATTATCTAGCTGTCTTTCTTCTTAGAATTTCCTGAAGCTTTCATTAAATTTATGTTCATTGGGTTTACTTTTCCCAATTGAAAGAGAGCACCAACATTTTCAAAGACAGAATTATGTTTCATTTATTTGTACAACATAGTTGACAATTTCTAAGATGATTTTGTTAATATACAAAAAAGATGAATTAATAGTGCTTTTTATAAAGTATATTTAAATGATTTCATTGTGAATATTGTATCCTTATTTAAAATTTTTCTTTTCCTGGTATAGAAATAATGGAGTGGCAATTTAATTTGAGGGCATCTGTCTATTGATAAATCCTACAGATTATCCTGACACTGTAAATCAATGACTTTGAAGATGAGCAGAAAATTTAAGAAACAAACAATATTATTGTTTATTATTTAACCCCCCATTCAAAAAGCAAAAGCAGTACAGAAGATAAGTGGAGTGAAAAAGGAGAGAAATAATGCAATGTCATGTGCCCATATAAAACACACACATATGGAATCATAGATGTTTTATAAGAACACACACAGAGACACATACACACAGAGAAGGAATAGTCTCATTTCCATATGACTGGTTTCCTAGGAAGGCGGCAGGGAAACAGAAGTGAAGCGTGAGCATGAAAACAAGTATCTTAAAAAACATGAAAAACAAAAGCAGAACATCAAAAACACAAAAATCACTTTTTTCTTTTCATGTCACATAGTTTATTTTTCATCCATTAATTAATTTGCTATTGATTCATTCACTTACGAAACATTTACTGAATACTTACTCTATTACAAACTTTGTGCCAGATGCTGGTGATGCAATGTGAAAAATGTAATAAGACAACAACCACACAGTTAATAATTTGGCAGTAATGGCGGACACCGAACCAAAAATAGCTAACCATATTTGAGTGGTTACTATGTGCCAGGCATTGCTCTAAACACTACACATATACTGTCTCATTGGACCCTTATACACCTTATGTTTTAGTGTTTTCATCCTCATATTATAAATGAGAGAGCTGAGACACGAAGAGATTGGCATCGTGCCTACGATTTGCAGCTAGTTGCTGGAGGTTTGAAAGCTAAGCAGTCTGGCTGTGGGGATCCTTGTTTTTAGCCAAAGATTTATACTGTCTAGTCATCACAAGTGTAAAGAATGTCAATCAGAAAAACAAGGTGACAACAGAGAAGTAACCTAGTTTGGGAATAAAGAGG